GGGTTGGGGACAGGCTAGACCCAGCACTGTGAGCGGATCCAAGGACCGAGGATGCTGACAGCAGCGCACACACAGTCCCAAGAATGACATTCATGCCAGGGAGCTAAAGGTTAATGAAACTCACCCCCACCCAGTCCTGAACTATTATTCAATTAACAGGGTGCTATGGCAAAAGTCAATTGCTCCCAGCATCTCTGCCTGGGCCAGGATGTGGCCGGGACTGCAGAAAGCCATGACGGAGGTGGGCCAGGTGGTAGTCAGGGAAAGTTGGCTATGGAGTGTTTAACAGAGCTAGAGCTGCCCTGGCTTCAGTAGACGCAGAAAAGGGTTAAAAGGGGTTAACTGATTGGTTCTCCCAGTTGCTCATGTACATAGGACAGAGAGCGCCTAGGCCTCCTACCATCCCACAACGATACAAAGCTAATCACAGACTTTACAAGTTCTTACAATCATAGAGTTCATTGAAATGGAACTACGGATCGTGGAGGCAGGCTGGCCCATGGCCCTTGCCAGCCTCTGCTGGCACCGGGCCATCAAGCAACTAACAAACAGCCCCACAGAATGCAAATGGTGAACAGTAGAGACCATGGTGGAAATGGAGGTGGTGGCCAACACACTAAGGTGCTCGCCGTCCCCGCCCCAGCTAGCAGCTCCCTTTGCCCTTTCAAAGCTGAGCCAGTCTCACGCCAGCCTTCATGTGGTTACTCAAGGTCCAAGCCGAACGAGCAACAGCCATTAAGTGGCTAGGCCAGCCCCCTAGAGAATTCATGCCAGGGCTCATGGGCTGGGACCGCCAGACGTTGTGACTCAGCTGAAAATCTCGCACCCTCTGAAATTGATTATGATAAAGGTGGCTGCCTGCAGAGCAGCTGATCCATCCTGGTACCTGCCAGAGACCTAGGGCATGTAGCTGCACCAGGCCTGAGGGGCAGCTTTCTGGGGTGTTGTGACAAGTGCAGCAGGCTGCTCCCATCAGGGTGTTTCCTGTTAGATACGCAACCTGCAGCTGTCTTTGCTCATCACACAGGCGCTAGGGCTGCAGGCACCGGCCCAGGGAACAGCACCACTGGCCCAGCACAGCCAGAAAGCACCTCAGAGTGGTTCGTGCCCGGCTGACCCACGTAGGCCCTGGGCTGCTTGTGTCAGGGCTCAGGTGCCCTACACCTGGGGCTGGGTTGCTCCGAGTTCTGCCAGCAAGTGCAGCACTGGCGCTGGACGCTCCGGCAGCCTTGATGGTAGCTGGGCAGGGCCCAAGACCTGCTCCAGCTTCCTTAACACTGGTGACGTAGGGCAGCCCGTGCCAGTGACCACAGC